GTGTTTTCCAATCTGACACATCCTAAGTCGGCTAACATTGCCCATTGAGGAGGGTGGTAGGTAGGGATGTAGGCTTAACACATATCCTAACCACCTCAATCGATGCAGCTGCTTCACGACCTCGTCGATTGATTCCCCCTCCCACTTACCTCGACCCCTCTATTACCTAACAGGGGAGATAGAACGCAGACACCAATCATCAAAGACAGTCAGCTAGTCTTTTCAAGTCTTCCACTTTCAGTGAACAAGTCTCTCTCACAGACGTAGAGGGGGACGGATCAAACAACTGCTGAGCAGTACACACATCGTTTGATAGATAGCCAGCTGGATATTATGTGTGCCAAGCGAGAGGTGGAGTAAGTTGTAAAATGCCAAACGAGCCTTCCGTATCTATGTTGTGGTTTTTTCGTCAGTGGTTAACCCTCTGGGGCTGATGCAACTCCCCAAATAAATGAAGTGGTCAACACGCTCCACTAAGCACTTCAGTCCTGCCTATCTTTAGGTTAGGAGTGAGTCGATGTAATTATGTCCCATAGCATCATCCTACATTTGAAAGCAGAACGCGAATCGCACGGCAAATGTTCGTAAATTGCTCTCTCCTCAAGGTATTCAGAAGACTGTGCATTTTGTACGCGTCTTCATCTAGTTGGGAGGGGACTATATCATCCGCATGTTCTAAGCCAATGAGATGATTCCATGATAACGAGTTAATCTCGTGAGTCACTGAATTCAGTTAGGGTTAAGTCCATTAGTACATCCATAATGAAATTAAACGGAAATGTGCACAGTGGACATCTTTGAAGGAACACTGGTGTGATTACCTCTTCAGATGACAACTCTTCGCAGGCTCTCATCTAGCTTCTTGAGTTCGAGTAGAGTGCGTTGTCGCTTCTACAGTTAGCCGACATATGCAATAATGCCACTCATAAATTCTGCATTCTATGCATATGCATAGAAATTCTTCGCAATAATCGAAGATTACATATCATTAATGCAATTAATTAATTAATTAATCCCTAACAACACTTGGCGTCATTGTTGTTTGAGTGAACTTCAGTTTTGCAGACTTACAGTCTCATCAAGTTGGCTAAATTGTGTGTGTACACTTTGATTTTGCTAAATACTTTAATACTTATATCATTTTTAATTATGTAGAAGGCAAAATAATCTTCAATTTGTATCATTCAATATCACAGAGGAAATTTTCTATTTCAATTTTAATCGTTTTTCGTAATATGTCATGTGAACAACTAAGCGTAAATGTAATGTGATTGAAAATCACTTTTCAAAATCAACTGGAATGTTGTTGTTGCTTAACACGTTAAAAGTAGCAAGAAAGAAAATGTCATATTTGCTAATAGTTATCACATTTTTCATACCTTTGATTTTCAACTGAACCGAGCCCAATTCTCATCGTTGAATTAATTACGACAAAAAGAATGCTGGTGGCCTTGTAACCGGAAGGTCCTAGGTTCGAACCCTGGTGGCGGGTGTATACTGATGAAGAGTCCCAAATTAGGTCAAAACAAACGTCCAGTACTCCCACGTTTTCCAATGATTCTGTAACCAATATCAGCTCACGGTGAAATCGTGTAGGCAATCAACCACATCCCCGAAAACCAGCACTTGGAAAGAATAATTTTATACAGAACAATGAGGATGTTTACAGGATTTCATCATGAGCTGACATACGTTAGAGAACCACTGGAAAACCTGGGAGTACTGGACAGCTGTTTCTCCAGTCCTAATTTGGGACTCTTCATCAGTACGCACCCACCGGGGTTCGAATCCAGAACCTTCTGGTTACAAGGCGAGTCGGCTCGTAGACCATTAAGCCACTGAAACTCGATCGAACCTCTTCCAATTCACGACATAGCGCGATCCCTAGCCAATGTCTTCGGCGAGTATTTGTCCTCACACTCGACCTGCTGCACCCTACTGGTCACGAATTCCCACCAGAACCCCAGGAAACTACCTACCTGCATATCGATGATGTGCTCACTGGCGACTGGCCCCATTCAGGTCTCACCATCAACTAAAGTGACTTCAGGTTACATGATCACACATCGTCGAACCACCTGCACAAGGAGTCGACATTTCAACCTGAGACCGAACACTTCAGTCCAGTCAGTCGACGAGAAAGTCTTAATTGAATTAAATAATTAAATAAGACCCGTTACACACGAGTTGGCTGTCATGGCCCAAGTGGTCTAGTGGATAACGCTTCGGCGTTTGTGTTATGTACTCGTCGCTAAATTATTGTTATGGACTGGTCGAGAATTTAATAGTCCTGACGCAAGAAGGCGGAAATCAGAAGACCACTAGGTTTGCGATGATACTTCTATTCCAAACACAAGGAGACGAAAATAAATGGTCTCACACTAAAGTGGTAAGTAAGTAAAGTCGTTCACACAAATTGTGAATGCGAAATATATATGAATGTTCCAGACAAAGCGTGAGAACAAATCATTAGACAGTCTTAACATGAATGGCTAATTATAGTGGAGTGTCGATCCAAATATACATAGCGAATATAGCAGACATGTCAACAACCATATATGGATATATGTCACCAAGCAACGGACTGTCAACAAACACTCATATTATATATAATATAATATAAGGAGAATATACATTGTTAAAGGAGACAAGTTCATACCAGTGAAATGGTCACAGACTAAGAGAGCAAACAGAAAGAGAGACCAACATACACACACACACATAAATATATATATGTGGATACATATCAGTTTGAAACTATGGCCACTGGGTTTGAGCCTCGGTGGGAACACCATCACTACTCACTAAGGTGAACAGCTACATCCAGTGACAAGTCCCAAGTAGGACGAAATGCGCATATTGGACTCCACTGCTAATCACCGTCAACCAATTGACTTAATCGGAGAAGTTAAGCTCTAGGTGCCAAAGGAGTATGACCTCACTAATCACCCTGGAACACTCAGTCAACTAGTTAGTGAAACCGGGTAAATAACACGATAATCATGAATAAAATCTGCTTAAGGAAGTGTTGTCATATTAAACGGGATATCTGGTAAGTTTTAGGTTAGCTTTGGGAAAGATTAAGGTAAGGGGTGTAGGCTAAGGACAGGTCAGGGTTAGGTTGACCTTATAAGGGATAGTGGGGCTGGTTCCAGTTAGATTAGGAATGGTTAAGGAAGGATGACGGTTAGGTTTAGGAGAGTCTGTATGAATACCTGCGTCGTGGAATAGATTTGAATTTCTCTATTGACACACCAATGGAAAACTTTGAGGTATTTTAATTGCACATGAAAAGTAGGTAGGTATCGTGTGTAACAGTTCCATGACTTTCCTTCCATTCGTTACTTTTATAAATATATGCATTTTAGAACAACACATTTAAGCGAACAATATTGTTTGCATTTTATACGTGAAAATTGCCTGTTTCATGTGATTGATGCGTTCAAAGTTATTCACCTGTTGCTTAAAGTTTAACTCCGCCCCCCACACTCCGTCATCCCAACCCTATCTGATAGCATAGATTGACAGAAAAATGTGCTCAGGGAATAAGTAGAATACTGTACTTACTCTCATTAAATCTATACAGGCAGACATGATTTGATTTGGAATGACCTTTTGTAGCGTTCCCTAAATGTGATTGGTTCTCGAAGGCTAACTTTTGGCAGACCTTTGCTTTGGCTGTGATAATTCAGTTGAATTTTAGATTTTCCCGTGGGTTGATTGGACCGAAAAACTTGGTCTCAGGTTGACATGTCGGCTTCTTGTGCAGATGCTTCGACGATGTCTCGGCATTTAATTAGTATTTAATTGGTGGATGGTGACTAGCAGTGGAATCCAGGATAACGCTTTGACATTTGAAACTATGGGCACTGGGTTCGAGCTTCGGTGGGAACATCATCACTCACTGAGAAACGCAGGCACATCCAGCTGACAAGTTCCAAAATAGGCCGACATGCGCATCCTGGATTCCACTGCTAGTCACCGTACACCAATTAAATGTGATAATTCAGCTTCGCTTAATCTCCTTAATGTATTGAATTATGATTGGTCTCCAGGCTGTAATTGTTTCTTCTGTGAATTTCCGTTCGTTATAGTTTAATTAAATTTCATCTTGTCTACAGCTTAGTGCTTACTTGGATAAATAGCTAAGAAGGTTAAGGATAGATACATTACTTGTTGTATGGGTGAGGAAGGGTGATGAATTTGTCTCTCGATAAACAATAGTATCGCTTTTAAGTTCACCCCATCCCAGTTGTTTCGCTTAAATTTTCAATTCCCGTTACTGTAGGTTACCGTACCATTCTCACATTGAACTTCTGGTACTCCACAGTGATCGATGTGAAACAACTATCTGGTCAAGTGCTTGGTCTTGTTAACCAGTCGGCGAAATACTACGCTGGTAGTCAGTCCAACGGATACTTGGTTTTAATACCTCTACGGCTATTCATCCTTTCGCCTCAAATGTTACTCTTGAAAATTAATCTGAGGCTCGCTAGTGACTGACTGGCTACTGGATGAAGTTGCTTTGAGTTATTTCTGGCGAAAAATTCGTCACCAGGAGGGGGGCCACCAGGTTGGGCATAAGAACAGCTACTCGCCGATGACATTGACTGATGGTTGCGCTAAAATCACAAATTACTAGAGGCCGTCGAATCGCGTTCAAGTGGTTGGATAGTCTGTAACCGTCTTGTAACCGGAAAGTCTTGGGTTCGAACCCTGGTGGATTGATGGGTGCTCTCTGTGGAGGAGTCCCGGACTGAGACGAAACAGCTGTTCAGTACTTCCTGGTTTTCACTGGTTCTCTAACTATAACATCAATGCCTACAGACTAACTCTTAAAAATCAAGTATGATCACTGGACAAAAAATCAATCTGTTAAACTAAGTTTAACTCAAGACTAATCTGTTCATAAATGTATTTACATTTAACTAGTCATAATATTTTGTATAAGCCTGACTGAGTGATCAATGTAACTATTATTATTTTACCCATATATATAGAAATCAGTGATAAACTCTCATCCAGTGTACAAAGTTTAATGCTTGAAGTCTATGTAATCTGTCTAACTGAAGTATCGCGTTTATCAGCGGAAGCAGCTGGTATCCGTTCACCACCCGACATTGTAAATAAACAAAGAGCGTCATCTGAAGAAGCATCATCTCCAGTTGAAAATGGTCGACCACACTTTTCTAATCCCGAAGATGATGATGAGCAGGAGGAGGAAGAAGAAAGGCGAGAGGAGAAAGCGGCTAGTAAAGGCAGTCGCAACAACAGTGAAGAACAACAGCAAACATCTAAACATGTCAACTGTTCACCAGTAAGAAAAGAGAATGGCATGCTTAAATCAAGCCCACCGAGTAAATTGCCTAATGGGTATTCAAATGACAATACTTCACCTGATGAATATCATAGCTTTGATGATAGTGAAAATAATGTGGTAGGTTGTTTATTTTTTAAATGTGTTTATTTATCCTCTTTCTTGGTTAATTCGTTCTTAAACGTTGACATCCCAGGAATTGTGTGGGAGGTTATTTAACCTCCTGTCTGCCGCCTACACGATGGGAGTTGATTTCTTGCTGAAGTATCTGAAGTAGAAAAAAGCTTTTGGTGTTGTTTAACTACCACCGGGTTCAGGGGATAGCTGCTTGGTGTTAGTTACACTCAGCCTGATTGAAGTGGTTCTTGGAGTTCTATCTATACGCAGATCTTTCCGTCTCAGGGTCAGTCGGAATGTACACTTTTTGGAGTCAACATTTTCAACAATCTCCTGTCTTCAATTGGCGGAGGGGAGATAACATAGCTGGTTGTCCAAGTTGAATATACAACTGCTGTTTCACCCCTATTCATCACCAGCAGTACAACTCCGGCCTCAGATCACTAACAAAGTGTAAACGAAACTACTATATACTACTGATTGGTTGAGATGAGTAGTGGCGTGCCACTTATATCAACCAGCAGCACCTGCTGGCCAGATCGAGGAGGTGATCTAAGTGGTGTAAACGACTTGTATTATAATGGTAATAGCGTTTAGTTTAACCGATACCCCAACGATCTTTCTGGGATGGTAAGACCTACAGGAATATCACTCTCAGCCAGTCATTGCTCTTTGAATCATTGCATTATACCATCCTAACCACCATTTCAAAGTAGCGGCTATCGGTTAAAGTCGTCATAGGATTCTTTCTCATTACATAATTGACTTTACGAACTCATTTTTATGTAGTAACTAAACTGTTTTAAACTTTCAAAGTCAAGCAAGGCCTATAATAATAGTGCGTGATTTCTTACAGCATAGTTGATGTTAGTGGCTAAGCCAGTCATGTATTTGGCTGGCAAATCTTCTTCGTTATTACCCTTTGTTTCTACACACTCTGATGGTCCTTTTTATGAGTTTGGATTTAAGTGCGTTCAAGATCTCATCTATGCAGTCTTAATTCACTTTCATTCAAATTATTTTGTCTAGTGAAATAATAGTTCATATAATACCAGCACACATTGATATTATGTTAATTGTTTAAGGATAATGTTTCAAGCACAGGTAATGGGGGCTCCCAGTGAAAGCTTATCTGTGTGAGGAGTTGTTTTGCTGAACAAAGATTCAATGACAAACCTCTCTCTTCATCTGAGTACGCTGCTATTGAGCTTTGTTGCCTTTTTCTCAGTTTGTTATTATTATTAATATTTAAACGCAGAAAAAAACTTGGTATAATATGGCACCAAGAAAAATACACCACACATTTCATCTGAAATTGCAACATGTGTAATAGCACGCGATAAGTTTCATTGATTGTTTGTTGCTTCATTCAATTCATTGTGTGAGGGCTGAGATACTACCTAGGCGCCCAGTCCGAAGCAGGTGGTTTTCTTAATGCACCATCCCGCTAGCCCTTGACATGGAGTCTAATCCCCAAGACAGCGGAGCAGCGTCAGGAGCTGTGCATTCCCATGGTTTCCGGTGACCCATACGGGTTCATATGCCATTTGATCCTATTGGATTCTGGAGCCCATGTACCCCATGGTAACTGTTTTTGGTTTAACTGCCATCCAAACAACCTTCCTGACATGGTAGGACCTGCAGAGGGACATGAGTCCCAGCCAGTTTATCTTGTCGGGCCACTGCGCTATTCAAGCCCGACCACCACGGCAAAGTAGCAGTTGTCGGCTGGGCAGTTTGTTGTATAGATGTATGTTAGCTCATACTGAGTAAGTAAGAGCTGACGTTTTCATTGGAGTAATTTTGCATATGCTAAACGAGCCGTCTGTATCCATGCTGAGATTTCTTTAGGAGTTAATCCACTAGGACTGATGCAACTCCCCCAAAAAGTATAGTGTGTGGTCAACATACTCCACCAACCACTTCACTGCTACTTATCTTTAAGCTAGGGATGAGTTGATGTAGTCTTGTCCTTTGACTGGAGCGCTCGAATCACATCCCAAATATCGGAAGATTGCCTTCTCTTCAAAGTTTCCAGAAGACTGCGTATTTTGTACGCGGCTTCATCTAGTTGGGAGGACTATATCATTTGTATGCTCTAAGTTAACGAGGTTATTTCCTTGTAATAAGTTACTCCCTGAGTCGCTGTATCCACTTAGGGTTAAGTTCATTAGTACATCTATGAGATGAAATTAAACAGAAATTGCCAGTCCTTAATTGATTAATTGTAGCTGATTATGTTTCCCTCTCTTTCACGTCCTATAAAACTTCACTTTATTCGTTTCCTTTCCTATCATCCGTTACTGCATATACAGGTTGCTATCCCATCAAAATCAGCTCAACTTATCCCATCTTCAACTCCAGTAGCATCTGAGTCAAAAGTGAGTAGTAGTTATGCAGATAAAGAATCACCTATTGTTTCAAATATTGACGGTGTTGGAACTAACAGTTATATTGTATCCTCATCATCTTTAATTTCATCGCCTACAAAGCCAACTGAAAATCAATCACAAAGTATCAATGCTACTGTCAACAATACCACCATGCTATCGAATGATCGAGCGGAGAGTTCAGCAAATGCTTTATTCGCTTTTGATTTAGTCACTGCAACTACAGCTGCTTGTATACAAATTTTAACAAAATCAATTAAAGATATGTCAGGTAAGAGTTATAATACTTAAAAAAAAGTCATGTAGCTTCTTCTGCTAGTATCTTTTTGTAACTTTGTTTTAAATAATAATAATAAACGTAGAACATTTGGATGTATATTTCGTCATGAACCAACATTAGCTAGAGTTCACTGAAAACCAAAGAACAATGAACAAATATTTCGTCCCAGTCTAGGACTCTTCAGTAGTGTACATCCAGCAAACACCCCACTAGCGATCGAACCTGGGACTTTCAAGTTACGAGGTCAAATTTATTGGTTGAGGCTAGCCCCCTATATCATGAATTGACAAAGTTAGGATTCACGCGTCATTGAATTACGAAACAGGTGGCTGGAATGGTTAACATGATTTGTCTCAACCTGGGGGTTGCAGATTAGATCGATGGTGTAGGTTTGTGGGGGGTGCTCACTGATGAAAAGTTCAAAACTAGGATAAAACAGCTGTCTAGTTCTCCTTGGTTTTCGATGATCTGGCTAATTATTGTTGGTTCGTGACAAAATCTACATTGAAATTCATCGAAATCCTAACGAAATTCATAATTTAAAATAAGTTTTAGTATTGGTTTAAAGTTCAAAATGCGTTTCAGGCTTATTTTGAACCTATCAGTTGATGAATACACACCATCGCACTAGACTGGTGGTGGTGTATCATTACGGCAGATATTGCCAGTGAATCCAGTTTCAGCACTCCTGTCTTCATTTCTCCTTCAGTTAGTTTGTTGGTTTTCGCCTGTAAGTCTTCGAGTTTGTGTGACATTAGACGTTTATCATCTGCGAAATCCAGATCTTCTAGAATCTTCTCATCTGTTGTCCAGTGTACTCCTTGCCCCCCCACAGTCTGATGTATAATCCAGTCCACCATAATTAAGAATATGGTCGGTGATAATGGACAGCTGTGTTTTTACTGCTGTATGCGCTTCGAACGCCTCGCTGAGTTTCCCGTTTTGCATCACCTGACACGTGGCATTGTCGTATAGCTACCTATTGAATGAGGTTGACAAAGAATTGGGCACTGCACTCCTTAGTGTTGAACTAGTTTCCAGATTACCTCTCTGTCAATGCTATCGAAGGCCTTCTGGAAGTCGACGAAGTTGAGACAGAGGTTTGTCTGCCATTCTCTGATTCGTTCGATAATGCTGCGTAGAGTTGCGATTTGATCAGCACGTGATTCGCCTCTTCTGAATCCAACTTGTTCTCTGGGGCGGAGTTCTGTATTCAGTGCATCTTTTATTCTCTCTAGAATGATGCCACTTAGTATGTTAATTGGAGTGGACAAGATTGGCACTATTCCACGCCAGTTCTTGCACAAGCTTAAGTCGTCCTTCTTTGGCAGCTTGACAAGGTACCTTTTCTTCCAATCAGTAGGTACCTTTCCTTCTTTCCAAACCTTTTGTAACAACCGCGTGAGCACAACTGCCGCAGTCTCTGGGTCATTTTTCAGTTGAGGGGGGATCCTGCTGCCTTCTCGGCCGGAATTCAGCAGTTTTCGTTGGAGGATTGATGTCCACTGGTAGGCAGTTGTGTGTGTGCTTTTGGTGTTATTTCTTGGCGAGTTGCAGGTAATTGGCGACTCAGGAGTCCTTTGAAGTGATCTACCTATTGTCTTATTTGTTTCTCTTCCTTGGTAATCAGGCTCCTTTGAACATCTTTTATTGCTGTCATCGTCTGGGTTGATATCTTCCTGGATAGAGATCTGGTTATTTGATATAATGTTGCGAGGTCTCTTTTACCTGAGGCCGATTACATTGAGTAGTCACTAAATATAGTAACTGGAAAAATAATCGTTAATCATCACATGTAATTGTGTTTATAATACCTTATTCTGTGAGTTACACTTCCCAATTGTGAAGTGAAAAGTGCGCATTTAGTTTATTATGCTTTCGTTTATTTATAGAATTGAAGGTAGTTTCGTTTGGGAACATGAGTTTGTTTTTTGCTCCCAAAACAGTGATAACCCACCTGGCAAAATTTATCCCCTTTTTGTTTACATAGGGAACTGTTTTAGTATTACTTAATGGTCTAGTTTGTGCCCTGCGAAACGGTTCGCTCCTTTGGTCCTCCTTTACGACTGCGAGACATGGCTATTGGAAGTGGAAGATAGGAGAAGGCTAGCTGCCTTTGATCATAAGTGTCTGCGTTCTATCTCATATGATAACATGGTAAGTAATACTGAGATTAGACGTAGACAAGGAGGGTAAGTTAATCAGTGACGTTGTGAAGCTACATCCCATTGAGATGGTTAGGACATGTGTTGCGCGTGCTAACACGTTCACTGTTAACCGACGTTAGATCAGGTTGAGAAGGAGCCAATGGCTGAGGTAAAACCAAAACTTGAAATCACTTCATGAAGTTTGTGATTTCCTGACTGGTTAGAGTCCTCAGGATGATAAGTACATATGGCTGGAGATAATTCTCGAGATGACTGTAAGTTGTCTTCAATGATGTAGGTACATTCCCCCCATATCCGTCATGTTTTCTCATGCTACTATTTCCTCTCCCTTACATATTTGCCTACTATGTTTCCTTAGAAAATGCTTTTTCTCTGCCCTGTCCACGTTTGTGTCTGTCTGTCTGTTTTCGACATAGAACTGTGCACAAATGTGCGGAAGTTCAAGTCGCCACATTCCGTGTAACACGCGAAGCAAGAGAAGAAAGTACAAGAAAAGCATAATAGAAACAGTGAGCAGGGGTGTGAGACAAAGGAGGAGTAATAACGAAGAACAAAACAGTTTCATTGGAGATCATAAGTCACAGGGAGTGGATGCATCTGCGCCACTGAGAACGATTTTGAGCCATGTCACCAATTGTTTCCAACCATAGATTTTTACCGTCCCGAGGACCCCAGTCTGGAAGTCTACACCTTCCTACGTGGCTTAGACCAACTGTTGTGGATTTGATTGACTGGTGAAGCCAAGTTTTTGTTTGACCGCCGCTAGCTTTTTTCCAGCCTGACCTACGTTTGTGTGCTGCACAGAGTGTAGCAAGTTGAAGCACTACACTTCTGTGCAAAGTTCTGTGTTGAATATCAGACAGTTTGACCATCATAAGGACACCAATTATTGATTCTCACTAGATTTCTATGAAATTCCCATCACGTTTCTTTGTTTCTTGTTTTCTATTTATAGATTCTGAAAGTTTGCTTATTCGCCTGCTGGATCGTATTGCCAAAGGGATCGATTTAAAATTTGTTATACACGCAGATCGTGTATTTGAACAAGCCGCCGGTGCCGCAGCAGTAACATCATCATCGTCATCATCAGCATCAAAAAGTTTCACTATACCATCTGCATGGGGTGTACAAAATCTACGTGGACACTTTAATATACCACAACGTCGTATTTCTACACAAGTTGGTATTAACCAGTTAATGTCTGACACAGCCTTATCTACTACTACAGTCAACACACTGAATAATCGTAAATCGCGGCATAGACCACGTCTTGCTCATTTAGTTTGTAGTGCTGGTTTGCTGGTTGTTGTACTGGAGAGTGTTGGCCAGTTGACACAACATTTCCCTCATTTAGGTAAAGCTAGTTTAGACTCTTTAATTGATTTCTTATTGAATCCAAGTCCAGTATTGAGTAGACTGAATCGTCAAATTGACAGACTGAGACATTCTAAAGCTGGAATTCTTATCATTATTGATACAATGAGGGTGAGTTTGTTTCCGTGGTTATACATATGCATACATGTCTATTTGAATTGAATCCTCTTTGGTATAAAACTTTACATAGTTTAGTAATCGTTACAAATAGGCTACAATTCAAGACAGTATTCGAATAGTAAGGATAATCTCCAGTGGTGAAATGGGTATTTTGTTTGGCCTTCCATCAGAGAACGTAGAGCTTCAGGTGTAATTGTTCAATATCAGAGGTGTTCTTTTTTACGGGGTGTAGGTGGTTAACCAAATGCCAAACTTTCTCTCTTTACCGGTGGACTTAATACTGGTTAAAAAAAGTTAAGGAGTACGTCGGCTGGCGATCGAACTCCGGATCATGTGCATGATGTTAGCCAGCATTTTACCGTTGAACTACAGACGCTCGAAGTGGGTGCATATTCTCAGAATATTGAATGCAGTCGAGTTTAAATACTTATGCAGGAATAGAAATGTGGTTCACTTGTCCGAACTCTAGACTACTTACCTCTGAGACAAAGGGTTAAACCTAGCCCAGCCAGATAGTATCACTAACCCTCATTGCCGATCAACTGCATGAGAATAATTCCGAATAGTCGTTGTTGAGTAGCCATTCACTACTATGCTCGTAAGACGCAGTTTTATATCAGTTTTTGTCAGCTAGGTCAGTTAAGTATATAAACTCAATAAGTGACCACATGAAATTTAGTAAAAATAAAACATTTCTTATCTGTGAACTGTGAATTTGTCAACTTCCAAAGGTGATGTATGCAACTGCATGATCATGGTAATCTCACTGTATATAAGGACATTTCATACCAATTTGAGTAACCGAGAAGGTCCCCGATTCGAACCCCAGTGGGTGCATACTACTGAAGAGTCCCAAACTAGGATGAAACAGCTGTCCAGTACTCCCTGCAGGTTTTCTAATAGTTCTCCAACTAATGTCAGCTCAGGATGAAATCCTGTAACCAGGCAACTCTTTAGACTCATCAGGTAAACGGGTGGGAGAAGACAAACCATCAGTGAGACAATCTCGGAAAAAAATGGCACTATAATTAGCTCCCAGGATAGACGACTGGATCGTTGGAAAGAGCATTATGAGGAGCAGTTTAATTTGCCCACAGCCACGCTCAACCTTCCGAGCATCCAACACCTCCCTGAATGGGATATAAACACAGGTCCTCCGTCACTAACTGAGGTTACTAAAGCTGTCACCAATCTGAAACTAGGCAAAGCAGCGGGACCTGATGGAATGACTCCAGAGGTATTTAAGTACGGTGGAGACAGCTTACTGTCCGGATTAACTGAGGTACTAGGCAGCGTCTGGGAATCAGAAGAAGTCCCATCGGGTTGGTGTAAGTCACTGATTATCCCCATATACAAGAAGGGAGACAAGTCTTCCTGTGATAATCACAGAGGGATTAGCTTGACTAATATAGTATCTAAAGTCTTAGGCTCAATAATCATGCGTAGACTGAGTGGTGCTCGGGAAGCACAAACACGAGAGAGCCAGGCAGGCTTTAGACCAGGAAGAGGGTGTATTGATCATATCTTCACCCTCCGACAGATTCTAGAACATAGGCATTCCTACCGGCGTCCAACAGTCATTATATTTCTTGACCTAAAGGCAGCATTCGACTCTGTCGATCGGGAAGTTCTCTGGAGATGCTTGGCTGTAAAGGGAATTCCGAGAAAATATATTGCACTGATTAAGGCACTCTACTCGTACTCATACAGCCAGGTGAGGGCTTACGGCGAGCTGTCATCTGAACTGATGACGACCAGTGGTGTCCGTCAAGGATGCCCATTATCTCCTTTTCTATTCAACTTCATCATAGATGTGTTAATGGACTTAACCCTAGGTGACTTCAGCGACTCAGGGATTGACTTGCTACCGGGGAATAATCTCGTTGACTTGGAATATGCAGACGATATAGTCCTTCTAGGCGAAGACGCTGACGAAATGCAGAGTCTTCTAAACACCTTGAACCGCAATCTACGAATGTTTGGCATGCGATTCGCTCCCGCCAAATGCAAGATGATGTTACAGGACTGGACTACATCGACGCCTAGTTTAAAAATAGGAAGTGAAGTGGTAGAGCACGTTGACCGCTTCACTTATTTGGGAAGTACCATCAGCCAACCAGCGGGCTGATCTCTGACGAAATCTCAGCACGAATACAAGGGGCTCGTTTCGCATTTGTTAGTTTACGCCGACTCTGGCGTAGACGAGATGTTCGACTATCGACCAAAGGGCGGGTGTACTGCTCATCAGTCCGCTCCGTCCTCCTTTATGGTTGTGAGACCTGGCCACTGAGAGTGGAAGACATGAAAAGACTAGCTGTCTTTGATCATAGGTGCCTGCGTTCTATTTCCCGTGTAAAGTGGCATAATAAGGTGAGCAACATTGAGGTTAGGCGTAGAGTTCTAGGTAAACAGGGGAAATCAATCGACGAAGTCGTGAAGCTACAAAGACTGAGATGGTTAGGACATGTGTTACGTATGCCAAGCCATCGCCTCCCTCGACGAGCTATGTTAGCGGATATAGGGTCAGGCTGGAAAAAAGCTAGCGGCGGTCAAACAAAAACTTGGCATCAGTCAATGAAATCCACAACAGTTGGTCTAAGCCACGTAGGAAGGTGTAGACTTCCAGGCTGGGGTCCTCGGGACGGTAAAAATCTATGGTTGGAAACAATTGGTGACATGGCTCAAAATCGTTCTCAGTGGCGCAGATGCATCCACTCCCTGTGACTTATGATCTTCAATGAAACTGTTTTGTATTTCTTTATTACTCCTTTGTCTCACACCTCTGCTCACTGTTTCTATTATGCTTTTCTTGTACTTTCTTCTCTTGCTTCGCGTGCTACACGGAATGTGGCGACTTGAACTTCCGCACATTTGTGCAAAGTTCTATGTCGAAAACAGACAGACAGACAGACCTGTAACTAATCGTTTCCTTTTTTCGCGTCGGTGGCACTAAGGTAAAATGTTCGTCAACCACGCAGGTGGTTCAGTGTTTGATCCCAGGCTGACGCACTCCTTAACTTTGTTTGGCCAGTATTAAGTCCAGTGGTAAAGATGGAAGGTTGGACCTAAGGCTAGCAACCCCACCCCGTAAAAAAAAAAATAAACACCACTGCTACTGGCACTTCAAAACTCTAGCTTGAAGCCCTATATTCCACTAGAAACATAAAGGAATAAGAAAAATCGTTTCCTCAACATGGTTTATTGCGTTTATGCTGTTTGTCTTCACAACTTGAAAGCTCAACGGGTGCAGTTGTCGGTTAAATAAAAATCTGCCTTACTAGCCAAGAGCTAGTAATTCTCTGGCCTCTGGTTCAAAACCTACCGTGACCCAGATGATTGTCAATTCTCTCCTTCAGTAATTACTCATTACTAAAACCTAAAACTATCTTTGATAACCTCACCATTAAGATGTATATGTATTTTTATATTTTCTGAATTTGTTTCCACAACTGAGATTAGACACATAACGTGGTAGGTGAGGAGAGGAAATCAGCAGATGCAGCTGTGAAGCTGAATCAACTTTCTTCTCTTGCTTCGCGTTCTACACGGAGTGTGGCGATTTGAACTGCCGCACATTTGTGCACAGTTCTGTGTCGAAAACAGACAGACAGACAGAATCAACTGAGATGGCTAAGACACGTGTTACTCATACCAAGGCATTGTCTGTTTTCTCCAGCGGCGTTAGCTGACATGGAAGTAATTTGGGCAGAAGTTAGGGTTGGTCAGACCCAATACCTAGTTATAAGTCCATGAAGTCTTTGACTGTTGAAATTAGCCACATAGGAAAGTGGAGACTGGATGTCTGGGACCCTTAAGACGCTAAGAATCAATGGTGATGCGACTCAAAGTTGTTCTCAATGGTACAGATACAGTCGTTATCTGTGAACTTCTATAAACTATCAAAGTCTTATTATCCTCCATGTATTTATTCTTTCTCATAAATATTTCCACTCAATACAGTTCCTTTGAATTTTCTCTCGCTACCTTTGTGAACTGTGTGTAGTGTGGACACCGGAACTGTTGCACTTTTATGTGAAGTTTAATGTTGAAAACTCGCTCAAGATTCTATTTCAGCCATGACTGCCTACAAACTTTCAATTCTTACTCATACAGTCTTTTCCGTGTCACCGTTAGACCCCACCTCGCAACCCTTCGCATCTCATTTGTGTTGCACTCATGTGTCTGACTTTTGATGGTACTTTAGTGTCTCCTCTAGAGTATCTTCAACCCATCACCACCAAATAATTAGTTGGTCAGCTAGTCAGAACTCAGTTACCCAGTTCCAGACTTTAAACCATGCTTATTGCATTGGAAGCTAGCGATATTACCCAGCTGTCTTGACTGAAGTAGGTAGGTAGAGAGAGAGAGAGAGACTCGAACCTGGGGCTCTTAGATTGGAAGTTGAGTGATTAAGCTGATGAGCAGAAGTAGCTGAATGGTCTACTAGCTCGCCTTGTAACCAGGAGGTCCTGTGTTCGAACCCTAGTGGATGCATACTGATGAAGAGTTCCAAACTAGGGTGAAACACCTGTCCATATCCGTATTTCTCAACTGTATCTCATGTGGTTTATATACTGAAGGCACGTTTACACTTTACTAGGATTACTACTGAGGGTGTTTGAAATTATTTTTTTCTACATCGGCACGAATGTCAGAGAACTAGGAACTATCAAAGTTGACGAAGAATAGAACAGAACAGAACAGAACACAAGTAAAACAATGTAGAAGGTTTTTTTGTGGTACTGTCTATTCTCTCCTTCTTTAACGTGATTATCTTTAATTCTTTCCTAACCAAAAGTCATATGATTACGTAGGTGTTTTAGAGAAGAAAAAAAATGCATATTCATTCGTTTGTTATTATGAAATGTTGAATAGAAAGTATAAAAAAGTAACTGTCACTGTCATTTTTTATGCATTCCCAGCATAATGTGAAATATGTCTCTGGAAGCATAAACACGGCACAACATCAACACTGAGTGATACGTTACATTTCATGATGCATTTGACGGATGAGATACTGTTCCAACCCCCCCCCCCTCACCAAACCGAAGCAGATGACTGTCTTAAAGGACCACTCCCTAGACTTGTAACTTGAAGTTTGATCCACAGGACAACAGAGCAGTACCATGCGTTTCTTTTGGTTTTTTTTTAGCTCATGTATATACCATTGGTTTGGAATTAGGGTTTTCCAACTCCCCTAGGTGGAACCCGACGTCCAACGGGCGGGCTGGTGATAAGTTTCGAACTTTTGTGAAAATCCCTATCGCCTCATAGAGACATTAAATAGGCCTTAATGGTGGATAATATTGAATTAGTTGTGTTCTCTGAGGCGGAGCTGGTTGATTTAATTGTGATGTTTTAGTCGTCCACCCGTCTGGACAACATCTTCAGCCAGCTCAGGTTTTATAATATAAAATAAAAACTTATTCAAATTTCCCGTTTATGATGTAATCGTATCTCTTCGCAACCACTATCGTGACTGGTTGTCAAATCTACGTCTCTATTTATTATTTTTATTGACTTGGAATTCGAATTTTCTCATCATGTGGTTTACTTTTTTTCTTAACTGTGATAAATTCGATCTACAATAATACTGTGTTCTGTTAATTGCTAATTCACTTGAGTACCAGGAACTCCATGACTACATTTTTGGTGTTTCGTGTATTTGAATTACCCCAATCAAATTTGTGTCTATAATTATCCACATGCACAACCAATCACGTTAGTGGTCGCCAGGAGATACGATTACATTATTCGTAGAGAATTTAAATGAGTTCATTTTGTACTCTCAGCTCATGATGAAATCCTTCATGCAATCAAACAAAATCCCTACAAGACCAATACTTGAAAATTAATCTGATGCTCACTAGCGACTGGCCCTATTCAGGCAGTTAACCTGGAGTTCTAGTTGGAAGCCGTGACCAGTAGGATACAGCAGGTTGAAGATGAGGCAGGCAGTAACTCATCGAAGAAGACATTGCGAAATGGTCGCGCTATGTCGTGAATTGGCAGAAGTTAAAATTCAGGGACTGTTGGATTGGATCCCAGTGGCTTAATGGTTTAAGAGCTAGCTCGCTTTGTAACCAGAAGGTCCTAGGTTCGAACCCCGGCGGGTGCGTACTCATAAAGAGTCCCAAACTACGACTGAAGGAACAGCTGTCCAGCATTCCCAGGTTTTCCAGTGGTTCTCTAACTGATATCAGCTCATGATGAAATCCTCCATGTAGTTTTAAGTGTCTCACGAATCTACTAATCAATTTTGTTTCCATCCTCATTTTCTGTACACCTGTAATTCGTTGTAACCCTGTGTAATTTCTAAGACTCTTGTAATCTATATTCGCACCTCCTAACTCCCATCTCGAGTGGAAAATTATTATTTCAATTTTGTTTCCATGCTCATTTTTACACACTTATCCGTTCTAACTAATCCTGTGTAATTTTGTTTCTAAGCCTCTCGTAAAATCCATATCTAGTTGAAAATAATTATCACCTTTTATTCGCCTTCGTAATTATGTGGAATCAAACAGGAATTGTATCCATGTAAAATTATGTATTTAAATGCAATTGTACAGCTTTGAAAATCAAATCGCCAAAAAATATCTTTGCTGAACATCGTATTCTCTTCCTTCTAATCAATGATTCTCAGTTATATTCAGTTACTGGAGACAGCAGTTAACCACATTTATTGTTTAACGGCTGGTGATACTATTCATTAGTCGTTGTGTGTGTGTGTGTGTATGTGTCGTTTCAAACACCAACACGTTGTCTCTGCTAGACCACTTAGGCCACGATAACCACCTCTTGTACAACGAATATCATTATTGGGACGATAAGTAAATTAGCTAGAGGCTCAATGGGAACACCATCAATCACTGGGCAGATTGCAGGAACATCCAGTTGACGAGTCCTTTGCTAGTCATTATCCAATAAAATAATAATAAAGACCACTTTCAGATTATTATGGATTGTTTGAAAGTAATGTTTTTCCTTCTCCTCAGAAAATATTTTTAGCTCTCTTCCTCACTACATCCATTCACTTTTGTATGTTTCGTTTATTTGTTTTTTTTGGTGCATAGAAAACCAATTCAAATGCTTCACTTACTGGATATGAAGCACAATTAACCGAATTAACTAAAATTGAACGTCATTTAACCTATTATAATCGTATATTAGAGCATATACGTGGTGCAGCTATTGAAAGTCTTTGTAGGTAGGTTTTATTCTCTACACATTGTTTTCGCCATCTTTGGTCCTTATTCATGTGTGTGTGTGTGTGTCAGCCTATAAGCATTTATATGATTTGATATTGCAAGTAATCTACTTGTCAACTTATTGAATGTCTGTTAGACCATGTAACATTAATGAAGACTTCTGTTCCCCTAGAATTGCTTGCACCGAGCAGTGTCATCGTGTAGAGGTAAATCTTGAAGTCCTATGGAAGGGTGTTTGCACATAATGGAGATAGTCTTTTAATGAGTGTTCTCATCTTAGGAAATCACCTTCGATGTCTTGTTCATGTGAGTATGGCTAGCTCGCATGATTGCTAACTCTTTGTTGGTGTGATGGTCAGCCGATGACTTGGAGCTCTGTGATCAAGGATAGTTATGTCAGTTCAGTTTTATTATTATTATTTAAACGCATAAAAACTTGGTACAATATGGCACCAAGAAGGATTCGTCACACAATAATAATAAAACAACATAGATCAAAAGAAAAAAAAGAAAGAAGAAAAAATATATACTATATATATATATATATATATATAAGTAGAGAACGGATAAAGAACTTCATCTGAAAGGAAAACAGTCATGCTTAACAAGTTCAAACAGTATTGTTTAACTATCATCGGGAAAGGAAGAAAGAAGGAAATTGCAACACGTGTAATAGCACGCGATAAGTTTCATTGATTGTTTGTTGCTTCATTCAATTCATTGTGTGAGGGCTGAGATACTGCCCGGGTGCCCAGACCGAAGCAGGTTGTTTTATTAAGGGACCACCCCCGAGCCTTTGACTTGGAGTCTAATCCCCAAGGCAGCGGAGCAGCGTCAGGAGCTGGATTCCCATGGTTTCCGTTGACCCATATGGGTTCATACGCCATTTGATCCGATTGGATTCTGGAGCCCATGTACCCCATGGTAACTGTTTTTGGTTTAACTGCCATCCAAACAACCTTCCTGACATAGTAGGACCTGCAGGGACAGAGTCCAAGTCAGTTTAGCAAGTAGGGTCATTACGGTATTCAAGCCCGACCACCACGACAAGGTAGCAGTTATCGGCCGGGATGTCAATTCAGTATCTGTTGGCGTATCGCGTCTTCCTAAACTGTGGTCTGGAAGATAATCTGAATCTGGGTTGCGACAAGACTCGAACCATCAACATGGTCATTTATAATCACTGAATTAATGTGTGATCACTTTCAGTTTTTGTAGATGTAAAAAATGATTTCGCGAGAAAATCATTTTTTAGAAATCAAAATAAACTAAACTGTACAGTTGTCTCGGTATAATTCGTAGCTCTTCAGCTGTGTGCACCCATAATGTTGTGAGGGATCGAAGTTAATGATGTCATATCTTTGCGGATGCACGTTATTCTGAAGCCACTGAATCGGTGGATATACTAGTACTGCAATAGTGCACCATATTGTCGTCACTATTCAAGCCTATTAATGAATATCTGTAACAGACTCGAGAAATGTCACCAGTCATGAATTCGTAGCAAAAATTTAAGGAATCCATCTCTAAGCCAGTGGATGTGTATGTATAATGAACAGTAGTGGGTTGAGATTCAGATCTCAGCTTATGCAAATGAATTGAATTTTTTTTTAGTAGGTGATTACTATTCAGTTTATTACGTTTCTTGACCTAACTGATGCTCTATGAGTGAGATAATGATTGACATCAGTTTACACAAACCGTCTCGGTTATGTAACTGTTTCATCAGAAACGAAATCAAAAAAAAGCTTACCGATAACTTTATAGATTTTGGATGAAATATGATTCAAGGCTCAACATCAAATATTATGATATGCTATTCTCTAACAGGTGTGTGACTAATTAGCGTATAGCAATTTAATCTCCCAGAAATGAGTTGTAGTCATAAGTCGGATTCGTTTTCTTCGACTTAAATAGCCTTCATTGTCTAATTGAGATTCATAACTATGTACGTAAACTTATACAGTTGTGTCTCATTGGTCTAAACACTCGGCTGTCAACTATTGGATCACAGGTGTGTGTTCATACATCTTTCCTGCTAGACATGTTTGAACAATCTTCAAATAAATAGGCCCGGTTTTTTGCCAGCTGCGTGGAAATGTTGGTGATACTTTCGCTTGTTGTCTTATTACATTTATATATATTTTTATCCACCTTAAAGATTGACTAGGTCAGAGGACAACAAACTGTTCTGATTGGTTGTTGATTTGCTGAAGGTTAACCCTTGAGATGAAAAGATATCCAATGAGATTATTTCCTGACCACACACACCGCTAACTCTGCAGTCATTGTTCTGCACTTTGGCTACTTCCTATCAATTTGCTTTTATGTATTAACTGATAAATCTTGTCAGTGACAGTTTCACACAGCAGAGGCTATAACTTAGGTGAAAGAAGTGACCAGAATCAATGTTCTAAGCTATCAAAGAGCGACTTTTTCAATGTTACTTCTACGTAAGTTTTCCGATCTGACCAACTAAATGCAATAATCCAGCTCCAATGTAATGATGTTCCTTATATCCTGGTGTAGATCGCTTAGCCTTACGTTGTAGTCTGTCAATCATTTAAATGCTGTTTGTGCCTTTTTCTTATGACTCAATGTGGGAATATTTCGTTTATTGAAGTACTCCAAGGACCCTATGTCTCTCTTTGTCAAGCTTGCTGAAGTTAACACGGAGCTTAATTTTGTGAAACTGTGCGTCTATAAGCATGAGTATCCAAAACATTACTGGAAGAATCTCCGCCGGAATCATATTTATCCTAATTCAAAGGCACCACATAACGTCACACACTTAATCACATTGACGCCATCCGCTCACTCATACTTGAACTTTAGCGAAACATATCACAAAGAACCCATGCTTTATATGAACTATCCGATGATGAACGACAAACATTTCAGGATTATGTATTTAGTGTCATACAAAAACGTTGTGACGATACTACTTCATGACTAACAAAAAGCCTGAAACCATCTGAAACGTTTTCGTCATTTCCACAGAATCCGGAGGAATATGTCTTTAATTTCTCGAATTTTCCCCTGACTTCTGTTCAAATGCAAATGCTATCACTTGGCCCAAAATTTTGCTATGTATCGAGTAAAATCAGCGAATTACAAACTAAAGTGCAGTTTGAGAATTTAATGTCACAGACATCCGATTTGTCACCTACTTCCGAAAAAGATCTCGATCACTTCAATGCTTCAATTCTTGACAGGTGTTACAAGTACATTCGTACGATACCGAGCCACCGTTATCTACAGACCAAAGAACGCAGGCGACAACTTAAACAGCTTCAAGAAAATAAAGACAATCCTCGTCTGTCCTGATAAGGGCAATGGGATTGTAGTAATGAAAAGATCCAATTGTATTGATTATTTTTTAAAACTAATATTCTACTCGTCAATAGTATTAATGTTTCTGTCTATAGATTTTTTTTGCGTCCTTATTTCAGCATCTTGCTGCTTAATCCTAGTTTCATTGAAACATTCCTGGCCGATCTGTCTTGTCGAATTTTCAATGCCGCTGAAAGTGATAGGTAAGTGTGTGTGGAGGGGGGAATTTTCTGGTTATATGATAATCTTAATGTTTTGGTAGCAAAAAGTGTGTATAAAGCTACGCTCATTGAGAAGGATTTCGTTCCTCATGCTTAACACTCCGCCTAGCTCTTCGAAAAACCCAGTAAGTGATAGTTTACAATATTTATATACATACGACTCAGGTTAATAATCAACGTCCTATTTTGATATGATCACACCTGTTGCTCATCTTCAACTCAGTCTTATTTCAGCTAACCTTACTCGTCGAAGTAGGCGGTGGCTTGGCATACGGTACACACACAAATGTTCTGATTCATCTAAATATCTAAAGAGGTTCATAATCTCATCAACTAACTGACTGACTATTCTTCATTCGGCAACACACTACATCCAATGTCTACATTACTTACTGACATTTGAGATTAAACAGAAGCAACGATAATTGAAAACTGATAATTTTCCCATATCTTCCATCTTCACTAGTCATGCCTCACGAACACCATTGGTTTTTGTCACTTCAGATATGAGAGCTCTCCTTATGTTCGCACATGACTATCTCAGTCAAAGTAGAGTGTCTTGGTCAGTGTTATATTTTTTCTCAAAGTTCTCTTCTCAGCATATCATTGCTGAAAAATACCTCTTGTTTGATAAAGTCAAATAATAATAGTAGTTTTATTCTGAACAATGTTTGTATGATGTACAGAATCCTCCACGAAATGTATTGCATAAGATTTCCCTTCGTCCAGAATCTTCAAATAAAAGATAAATTCAAGTGATGGTTTGTAGAGATTTGATTGGTTACAGGAATTCATCATGAGCTGACATTAGTTAGAGAATCATTGGAAAACCTGCCAAGGAGCATTGAACTACTGTTTCGTCCTGGTTTCGGACTCTTCAGGAGAACGCACCCACCGGGGTTTGAGCCCAGGACCTTCTGGTTACAAGGCAAGCTAGCTTGTGTGCCATTAAGTCAGTGGGACCCGATCCAACCAATATCAGCTCTTGTTGAAATCCTGTAACCAATCAAATCCCTACAAACCAACACTTGAATATCGATGAGATGCTCACTAGCGACTTGCTCGATTCAGGTAGGTAGTTACCTGCGGTTCTAGAGAGAAGTCATGACCAGTAGGGTGCAGCAGGTCGGGTGTGAGGACAAATACTCGCCGAAGACATTGGCTAGGGGTCGCGCTACGTCGTGAATTGGAAGAGGTTAGATCGGATTCCAGTGGCTTAATAGTCCACAAGCTGACTTGCCTTGTAAGTAGAAGGTCCTGGATTCGAATCCCTGTTGTAGGTGCCAGCCGATGAAGAGTCCCAGACTAGGACGAAACAGCTGTCCGGTACTCCAATGGTTCTCTAACCAATGTTAGCTCATAATGAAATCTTTAAATATTGTCAGTGTTGGGTGCCAGTGGGTACGTCTGTGTTCTAGAAGCTGTCGATAAATGAAGGTACGGTTAATGCACCTTGTTTGGCCCCCCCCTACTTAGCCTTCATAAAAATTTGTAAGCTGAAAATTGAATGACAATCCAAAATGGATAAGTGTTTCTTAACCTCATAGAGAGATCAACACCTGATGGCTTGATTACGTTTCATTCAATATTTTTATTTATGTCAGTTTGTCAAGTAAGTATCAGTTATGATGAATGAGTTTCATTCTAAATGAAATAGTCAGGTGGAATGGAGGTTAATTAGCAGCAAAAAGCCCCTGTAGTTGTTCTCGTCTTTGTTAATACTAGCCAATAAACCTTGTGAGTGTAACCTCAAGACATTTGATACTTTCATTATATACTGGAGACAAAATTATTCGGTAGTGCCAGTAGGTAGATATGATATATTGGATGTGATTGTAGTCATCAGAATATTTGGGATATGTACATTCCTGTTCTATTCATTTTCAACTGTTGGTCTGCATGGATTCGATTGATTTTAAATCTCTTCATGAGCTGACCCCAGTCAGAGGACCATTGAAAACCAGGTAATACTGGGCAGTGGTTATTGTCTCGGCCTGAGACTCCTCAGAAAAGTGCACATGAGTGAGGCCACTGGTGGTTGGTCCCAAGCCCTACAGATTAGGAGGACAATTCGTTTACCATTCAGCCCCTGAGGTGGAATTCAAATCGCCCATGAATTTGTAATATTAAAGTGGAACAGCAGCCAGCCATTATCCTCGGCGGTTATTTCTTCTTACTGCCAGTCAACTTGGTGTAACTCACTGGTCACAACTTCTTAGTAGAACTTCAGACTACTTTATCCTACAGTTTTAGTCGTTAGTGTGTTCGTTTTTGTAAACATCCTGACTGATTTGCAGTTTGATCACGAACTTAGGCTACTGGATTTTGTTGCAGTGACTGAGAATGATCAATGACCTGAAATTCCTGGGTCATGAGTGCCCACTGATAAGGGGTTCCAAACCAGGACGAAACAGCTGTGCACCTTGTACTCCCTTCAGGTTTCCAACCATTTCTTTGTGTGTATGTTAATTCTGTTCTAAAATGTGCCAACTTTAATGCTGATATTTTTTAAATGCTGCTGCAGCATTTGAGTTGAATTTGATGTTCGTTTTACCACACAGTTCACAAAACACCAAAAAAATATTTTCATCTGACCATATGACAGATTTTTTTATATATATTTAACTATCGAATTTTAAAGTACAACATTTTTGTCATTGTGTGTGCGAGAGTATGTGTGCAGGTGGATGTGTTTTGTTCGCTTGGTGAACAGATAGATTAGAACATAATAAAATTTTTGAAATCAAAATAATGTTTATTAAAATTAATTAATTAATTATTGTTCTATTGTTATTGCTGGTGTGTTTGGCTACACTTATATTTTGTTATAATATCTTCCTGTTTCTGTATTGATTTTTTATGTAAATATTTCAAATCGTCTAAAATCGGTATTCAAGTATTGGCTTGTAGGGATTTCATCATGAGCTGACATTGGCTAGAGAACCATTGGAAAACCTGCCAAGGAGTACTGGACAGCTGTTTCTCCAGTCCTAGTTTGGGACTCTTCATCAGTATGCACCCCACTGGGGTTCGAATCCAGAACCTTCTGGTTACAAGGCGAGCCAGCTCGTAGACCATTAAGCCACTGGAACCCCAGTAAAACTTCCTAGCTGCATATCAATGACATGCTCACTGGCGACTGGCCCTATTCAGGTAGGTAGTTCCAGTGGGAAGTCGTGACCAGTAGGGTGCGGCAGGTCGAGTGTGAAGACAAATACTCGCCGAAGACATTGGCTATCGGCTGCGCTATAACGTGAATTGGCAGAATTTAGAATTCATGTGCCGGCCATTGGATCGGGTCCCAGTGGTTAAATGGTCTACGAGCTAGCTTGCCTTGTAACCAGAAGGTCCTGGTTTCGAACCCCGGTGGGTGCGTACTGATGAAGTCCCAAACTGGGACTGGAGAAACAACTGTCCAGTACTCCCAGCTTATTTTCCAGTGGTTCTCTCACCGATGTCAGCTCATGATGAGATCTTCGGTATATCTTATAAACAAATGTAGATAGTATATGAAAGTATGATCATCTAACAGGATAGAGAATGCTGGTCAAATCACTACATCAACTTCATTGACTATGAAGGACCTTCTACAGCTTTTACTTTGGCTTTCCCCAAACCCTTTGCCAACCTCATTCAACAGTTATGAGATGGTGGTAACATGTCGTGTGATTCACAGCTCAGCGGAAAGCTAACCGAAGCTTTTGAATTGAAGACAAGAGTTAAGGCAAGGCTGCCTGCCTATTATCACCGATGATATTTTTCTAACTGTGGTGAACTGGATCATATCATACCTCCGGAGCTAGAAGATAGGCATACGTTAGATCGACGAAAAGACTCTAGAAAGTTTAGACTTTGCTGTCAATTTATGCCTAATGTCACAGGAAGCCAAATATCAAATGCAAGCGAAAGCCAACAAGTTTTCCAAAGGATCAGGGGAGACAGACAGAACTTCAAGTGAACATTGAGAATATGGTGGGGTGGGGGCGGGTGATGAAGATATCTTACCAAAAACAACGACAAGCACCACTCACTATCAACAAGAGAAATTTGAAGGAACTGGCTTCTTTCAGTCATTTGTGCAGCAGTGTTTCAACTGTAGGTGGCACAAATGAGGATGTCGAAGCCAGTCACTATCGGAAAGGCGACACAGACCTTCAATAATCTAATGGTTGGCCAGTAAGGATTCACAGCAAGGAACTTTGTGAGCGAACCAGCCAAGAACCTATTGCCGAATAAATTTACCACAAGAAGAAATGCAAATGAACCGGAGACATGCTGAAGAGACTATTGAATGACGTCACGCACAGGCGAAACCTTTTATAAGAACCAGAATAGAAAACGATGAGTTCGGTCTGCGGGTGACATGAGGGAGATCGTGCAAGGAGGAGATGAAGACCTATAGGCGATTGTGTAGTCAACTAAAAAAGGACTGCAGATAACAGGATGAAATAGAGATGTGCTACTGAAGCTCTATAATCCACCTAGTATTATTGAAGAGGTCATATTTTTCCCTCTTTAGAAAATATTTTACGTCTTTTTCCTCGGTATCTGCTTTTGTGTTCTGTTTGAATGGAGGTTAGACTAAAAGTGGTAACCATCAGATTGTAAGTCGTTGACATCATATTTGGTTGGGGAAGGGTCTGTAGATGAAGTCATACTGTTGACAAAAAATGTTGAAATAACAGCACTGAGATGTTTCCTTCAGGTGACCAGTAAGCCACCTATTTTGTCTCTCCGTCCTGGAGAGGCGGAAACGGTTAGAAAAGGTCGACCCCGAAAATTGTACTTCCTGACCTACTCTGTGGTGGTTCGTAGCCGACAGTAAGATCTTCATACGGCTGCAAACAGGTTGTGTGTGTGTGCGTGTGTGTGTCACCAATCTGAAGCAATTGTCCCTTCATCCCGTGGTCACTGAACATCAGTACTCCTGCTGTTTCGCTTACCCCATGAAAAATCAATCAGTCTCATAGGTTGATGTTAGGTAAAAAAAAAATCAGATGTTATTCTGATTCCTTACCAGGTGTATTTGTGTGTGTGATTGTGCGCGCGTGCCCACACACGCGTTTCTTTCAGTCTTGTTTCTCAGTGTAAGTCATAACAGGTTTGGTTAAGTAAACCTGAAGAGTTGAGATCAAGGCAGGTGGGTTTCTGCTGTGTATTTCTTTCAGTCGTATATTTCGTATACAATTTCTATGAATACTATACATAATATATGAATACATATTTTCATGTTGTGTGTATATTCCTTAATTTTTCTATTTTTAGCCGTCCCACCAGGTAAATTTCTTTTCTTGGTTCTTTCCTGTTTTTTTGTTTTTGCTACACTAAAGATCTCAACACATTCACACACTCTCACTTTTGCACTCATAATGTACAAGGTGTGCACACCTGTGTGTCTTGTTGCTTTTCTCACTCGTTACGAAAAAAAACTTTTTCTTATATAGTGGTGTAGTTTTTCCGGTCCGTCTACGCATAAAAATGCTAAACTAGTCACGTACACACACACACACGGAATCTCCGTAGTGTTATTGATACCGGTGATGCAACAGTAATATGAGGTGTATAATTAGTTATTGAATAACTGATAGATTCTACACTAATTTATGCATTACCTATCTAATCTGCTTTGCACACACTTATTCAAATATCTTGATTTCGAGTAGTTACACTACTGGTACTCCCGCCTACTCCTTCCTACTCGTACTATATTGCTGCTGTCTAATGCTGCATCCTTTACACTCCTCTAGTGTGTGTGTGTGTACACTAAGCTTTATATTTTTTCGGTGTCTATTGTATTATTAAAATTAGAGTTTTGAGAATGTAGACTTTTGGGTGTGTGCAGGTGTGTGGTGCGTTTATACTGTGTGATTTATCTCTACTGGTGAGTAGTGTACTTTGCTCTTAGCCTAATCAAAACAAAATCGGTGATAAAATTTGTCTGTTTTTTTATGCTTCATGTGTTTTTGTGTGTGCAGGTGTGAACAGTTAATTCAGTTGGTGGGGTGAATCAGCATTTATATAAGTAGATACGTTTTATCAAATAGATAAGTCGATTTTCAATGGATTTCATTGATTTTTAGTTAGATGACGAAATACACAAGAGAGAGAGAGAACCATAGCAGCTGTTGTTGTTCCATTCTTGTTTGGAGCTTGTCTTCAGTGGTGGGCACCCATCATCGTATTGAATACCATACGGGAAAAGAAGCCGGCAAGAGTAAAAAATAGATAGCACAGTCAGTCGACCTTGAATTAACTAATCAGAGATTGCTCAACAATGCAAATGATCGCCTTTTTTGGAATCCTGATTCAGGGTTAAGGTAGGGTTGCAACGATGATTATAGGTAACATCCATATGAAATGCTGGGCAATGTGACTGTCATCATGAAGTCAATCATTCATCAGAATTAGTGGATCCTATAACTTACTGCTCATACAGATTCTTGTGTACACACTATAGCCACTCCTATGGGAAATTGAGACCTCATTTTGCAGCATATTAGAGATATATACCCTACATATTTCATTTTTTGTTATACATGGTATCAATACCACTTTTTTGCCCAGAGGCATATGATTGGCTGGCCCAAGGTCATTTGACTGTGGTTACTTTTCTTAACTGCTGCTGCCAGGATTCCAGTTAGCGGCTATGAATTTACCAGTTGATGATAAATATATGTATATGGCGTCGTCTATCCCTTAGTAGGGTTATGGGGGTGTGTACTGCGTAAAAGTGTACCGGAATGAGACGAACTGGCTGTCGAGCACTCCTTGGCTCCTTGTATTAGTTCTCTACCTGCGATATCAGTTCATGATCTAACCTGAAATTTCCCAGTTGAACAGAGAGAGGGTTTCAAGCTAGAGCTTTGAAGTGTCTGTTGTAGTTATTGGTGTTTAGTTTTACGGGGATGGGGTTGTTGCCCATATCTTATACCCAACCTCCTCTCTTTACTGGTAGTATAACCGGCTTAGAGACGTTTAGGGATGCGTCATCAGCTGGGCACCGAACCCCGGACCATGTGAGGCGTGGCTGGCGAGCATTTTACTGCTGGACCACTGACGCACTAATCTGAAACAATTGTTTATTAATAGTCATTATTATTAGTCATCGTTTGTTCGCCTTTTGAGGATTAATTTTAATTGAAGATGGACTATGACGGTGTGAAACGTGATGCTAGACTATTGAAACCAAATGATTATCAGTGAACTGGAATTGTAACACATTTATTTTAATGTATTTGAATGAACACCTTCTGAGGAGGAGTATGTCTTATCATAACGTCGGCCTTTGAAGATAAATAGGAGTTAGCAGTCTCCGTTTATATACATATATATATATATATATATATATATTATATTGTATCCTTTAGTTCCTAGAGGAACATAGGGCTTCAGCTGCGCACCTCCATTGACTTCGGTTTTTTGACAACTTTTTCACCCTGCTCCAGGTCTGCCCACATGCTTTCATCTCCTCTTCACATGACCTCCTCCAAGTCACCCTTGGACGACCAACTCGCCGCCTCCCTTTCGGGTTCCACTCGAGGGCTTGTCTAGTGATGTCACTTGATGGTTTCCTCAGCGTATGGCCAATCCATCTCCATTTCTTTCTGCCTATTTGTTTCACAATCGGTTCCTGATTGGTTCGCTCCCAGAGATCCCTGTTGCTGATCTTTTCTGGCCATCTGATCTTGAGTATTGAGCGGAGACAGTTGTTAATGAAGGTTTGAAGTTTGTTTGAGATGCTCTTTATGACTCGCCAAGTCTCTGATCCGTATAGTAGCACTGACTTCACATTGGAGTTGAAAATCCGGATCTTATTTTTGATGCTGAATGCTGTTGACCTCCACACAGATTTGAGAGTAATGAAAGCTTGTCTTGCTTTTCCGATTCTGGCTTTGATGTCCTCGTCAGTTCCGCCTGTAGTTGAGACGATGCTTCCCAGGTAGGTGAAGGAGGTTGTTTCTTTCAGGTTCTTCCCATTTATGCTTATTGTGGTCTGTTGTTGCTGTTGATGTTGGCAAGGAATCTTCATCATCTCTGTTTTATCTATGTTCACGTGAAGTCCTATCTTTGATGCTTCTTCTGCCAACTTGTTACTTTTCATTTGCATATCTTCCAGTTTATGGGAAATCAGACATATATCATCGGCGAAATCCAGATCCTCCAAGTCTTTTGTGTCAGTCCATTTTATGCCTGTTCCCTCGTTGGTTGCCGTTGTCTGTCGCATTATCCAATCAATTGCAATCAGGAAGATCATTGGTGATAGTAGACAGCCTTGCCTCACTCCCGTCCTCACTTCGAAGGCTTCCGTAAGTTTCCCGTTGTGGATTACTTGGCATGCAGCATTGTCGTATAACTGTTGGATGAGGTGTATAATTGTCGATGGGACCCCGTAGTAGCGAAGTAGTTTCCAAATGACCTCTCGATCGACGCTGTCGAAGGCCTTTTCAAAGTCGATGAAGTTGAGATAGAGAGGTGACTGCCATTCCAAGCTTTGTTCAATGATGATCCGTAGAGTGGCGATTTGATCAATACATGATTTGTTTCTCCTGAATCCAGCCTGTTCCGGACGAAGTTTTTCATCTAGGGCTTGTTTGATTCTCTCCAGGATGATGCGACTTAGTATCTTGCTTGGAATGGACAGAAGCATAATTCCCCGCCAGTTTTTACATTGACTTAAGTCTCCTTTCTTTGGAAGTTTGAATAAGTAACTGTTCTTCCAATCCTCGGGTACTTTGCCCTCTTTCCACACCTTCTCCAGTAGTGGTGTCATCAAGTCCGCTGTTGTCTCTGGGTCTATTTTCAAAGCCTCTGCTGGGATTCCATCTGGTCCCGGTGTTTTCCCAGTTTTAAGCATCTTGATTGCATTCAGGACTTCTGATTTCGTCGGGGGGTCAGTGTTCACTGGTAGTTCTGCTTCCGTTGTTGGTATTGCTGGACGTGTTGTAGGTGGCGGACGATTTAGAAGTCTTTTGAAGTGTTCAACCCAGTGCTTTCTCTGTTCCACCTCTTTGGTGATTGACTTTCCATTGTCGTCCTTTATTGGCTTAATCTGTGTCGAACGTTTGCCCGAAAGGTTCCTAGTTGTTTGGTAGAGTGTGGCGAGGTCTCCTTTGCCTGCAGCTTGTTCTGCTTCGTTTGCCATGGTTTCATAATATTTTCTTTTGTCTTCCCTGGCACTTTTCTTCACTCTTTTGTTCAGTGTATTGTAGCTTGCATTCAGCTCCTGTTTTTGTTGCTCGTCGTGCACTGGATAATCTTTTGCTTCACTGTCCTTCTCTCTTCTATTAGTTTCCAAGTGTCCGTAGTGAGCCACTGTTTGTCCTGTCTCTTTTTTCTGCCTAGAATTTCTATGCAGGTTTGGCTCCACACCGTTTTCAAGTTGTTCCAGTGCTTTTCAACGCCGACCTCTTCGCTAGTGTTGATTTGTGTCTCGGCTTTGTCCTTTATGCTTGCAATGAAGATGTCCTTTGTAGCCTGGTCCTTCAGCTTTTGAGTGTTGAACTTGGCTTGTGGTCTATCTGCAGCTCCTGATTCCCTGAAAGCTTTTAATTTGATTTGGATTGTCCCTTGTACGAGATAGTGGTCTGAGCCAACGTCTGCTCCTCTTCTTGCTTTTGTGTCCAGTAGGCTGCGCCTCCACTTCCTTGAGATTGAGATGAAGTCGATTTGGTTTTTGGTTTGCCCGTCTGGTGACACCCATGTAGCCTTGTGGATATCTTTGTGCTTGTATACACTGCCACCAATCACCAGTTCGTTGAAGGCGCAGAAGTCGGCGAAGAGTTCTCCGTTTTCATTCATTTCTCCTAGAGCTTCTCTACCCATGATGAGTTCCCTTCCCGTATTGTCTGGTCCCAGTTTGGCGTTCATGTCTCCCATTAGTATTTTCATGTCGCCAGCTGGAGTATTGTCCATTGTTGCCTGTAGTTGCCTGTAGAATTCTTCTTTCTTCTCGAGGTCTGCGTTGTTTGTGGGTGCATAACATTGTATGATTGACACTTTCCTTCCTTTGGAGTTGAACCTGGCGGTCATTATCCTGGACGAAATCGCCTCCCATTGTATCAGGGCTTTCGTTGCCGTTGGTGACATCATGATAGCCACGCCCTCGGTGTGCGTGTGGTTATCTTCTGGGTGACCGGAGTAGATCACTGACTCACCTGTTGACAATTTGGTGAGTCCACTCCCATTCCATCTGCTCTCACATATTCCCAGCACTTGTATTCCGTATCTTTTCATCTCGTTGGCGATCTGGGCAGCTTTTCCAGTCTCGTACATAGTTCGGACGTTCCATGTTCCTACACAGACTTTTTCTTTTGGTGCAAAGAGGTTCATTTTGCTGAAGGTTCTGTAGCAACTTTGTTTACAGGGTGTGGTTGCTAGCCTCACGCCTGAGAAAAGAATGATTACATTAAGTAAAAGTTTAGAGAGAAGCAACTTTTTGGGTTGCTCCCCTCAAAATCAGAAAATAACGGACAAACAATGAGAACAACATCAACAAAGGAAACAGTTCACAGAAAAAAGGGCAAAAAGCGACGACAACTATAAAATAAGACAACATGCAATATAGTTCAGTACAGTTAACTAAAATGATATCTTAACCATAAACTCACTGACTTGGAGCAACTTGAACATATAAATCCAACAATATATACAATTATAGATGTGTTTATGTTTAAAAATTCCACAAATCCAAACAGTGAGTTATGTGTATTATCTGTCAATAAGATTGTATTTTTTGGATTCAGTGTTCGAAAGGTTAATAATTGTGATAATTTCCGCAAACACTTTGCATAAAATTTTAGAGTAATAAGAGATTTTATTTATGACCAAAATGTAGCGTAATAGTCGAAAAGCGCGCACCTGATGAATGGGAAATCAGTCTCGGTTTAGCGTCGTCGAATCGTTCATAATTAACAACTTTAGTACTCATCACCGAAAATACCCATTGAGTCATGAAGAAAATAAAAGACAGATTCAGCGAAGAAAATTTTCTTTATCGTCGAAATCATCTTCAGAGACTGGCTGTACAGTCGTATTTATGTATACCAAAAATGTATAGTAGTCTATTATTGAGTAATAGGGGGTGACATAATTGATATAATTACTCATAAGTGGCTTTAGAAGTGAAAATTAAAAGTTGTAAATTACGTGGTACTCGACGGGACAGAGCAAGAAATTTGATCAGGATAAAATAGCTAATGAGTGAGAATAAAGGTGGTATTTGAGTGTCAATTTAACAAGTGTGAAGAGGGTGTGAAAATATACAAAAGGAGCATATGAGACTGATATTAGTGAATTAATTATTAAAGCAAAAGCAAACTAAAAGTAAAATTAAGAAACAAAAGAAAAATCAATGTTTTTTTACGGGGAACGATTAGTGAAGAGGTTGAGACCAAGGTAGAATAAGAGGCTGGACAAACTTTTTCTGTATACAGAGTTCAGGGTTGTACTTATGAATTGCCAGCGCCTCCGCCATACACAAAAGCCGAAACATGACGCCCTTTGTACCATTTGGCTTCACTTTGTAGATGATGTTGAAAGACGACTCTGGTGGAGCTACGTGGCCTGAGTTCACCAAGTGCTCGAGAATCGGTCTAGTAATTGTCTTACATTGTCCCTTTGCTAACCATTAATTCACGCCTCCTAGCTGTGTCGACTGATATGACTTTGCAACCGAATAGGTTGACTCTCTCTCTCTCTCCCTATCTAGCATTCTACATCTGGCCTCAATTACTGCTTGCCATATATTATACTGCTTAAAATGGCAGATAGGACGCAAACATCGGTGGTCAAAGATAACTAATCTCTTCGATTCCTCCACTTTCAGTTACCGTGTCTCACAGTTATAAAGGGGAATAGAACAAAGTGCATCTCAGCACACATGTCCTTTGATCGATAGCCTCCATAATTTGGACAGCCAGGCAGTATCATATGGGGTTAATTTCGAATTGCATAGATATCCAAGTGGTGGTCGTTGAGTAAAACACAGATGATTGATTATGCCTTCCTGAAAGGTGTATCTCACTAGTCGATATCAATAATAAAATCTAAGTGTCATCGAAATAGTCTCCTAGACTTTTCAGCTTTCCACTTTTCTAAATTTGGGATATTATTAAGTGTAGTCTCTCTCACACACACATAGCTAATCTAGACGGCATTCTGGTGCTGTGCGACATTGGTTCATGAACAAAAGTCATCTTGAAATCTGATATCTGAAATTTCGGGGATTGTAAATTATTCATGTAGACATCGTATCGCCTATTATTATTATTATTATTATCATTATCATTAACTTGGTTCGAACTGTTGGAGGCATTGAACAGATGTTATATGATATTCAGCATTCTTCCCATTTTTTATAACAACCTGTAACCCCGATTTTCTGAAAGGAAATTCGATAGCCATTATTTTGCTTTATATATTTATTTCACCGGAAAACATTAGCTTTCCTAACTCTTACGTGTGTACCTTTATCTGGTGTTCGTTTGTGTGTGTGTGTGCGTGTGTGCGTATTTTATGACCTAAGCAATATTATTTATTCGTTACCCTTGCAATGACTTTAATTTCTATCCTATTTTGAATGCTTAATGCTTGATTTGAAGCCCTACTGGTGAGTGGGTGATGGTGACCCCCCTCTGCCCGTCCCTCTCCTCTCTTTTTCTGACTTACTTCCGCAATAAAGTGGGTTTGCCGCATTTTCATCATCATACTTAGTGAGCCTGTGGTATAAATTATCTGTTCACCGTACTTTTGCACTATATATATATATATATATATATATATATATATATAATTAATAATTTTGCCACCAGCTATCGATTGATTATGAATACAGAAATGCTATAGTATATATGGATGATTGATTGGCCCGATTGGCAGTCTCTAACTACTCACATCAATGAGTAGTATGTATGACTCCTTCGCTTTTGTAATTAATTCCCTCCCTTCCTCCCCCTCCCCCCCCGGCCTTGTACCATTTGTTATTTCCTTTGGTTTTGAAAATTTTCACTCTTATGCAAATTAAACTGGTGAACAGCACACCAGACTATTAATAATTCAGAGGTTGGTGATTCGAATCCTACTGACAGATAGATTTTTCAATAACAGTCTATCAAAACCTAAGATTACCTTATGTATAGTTTCACTATAACTTCCAAGGTGGAACACGAGGCTTCAGCAGTATGTCTCCACTTCACTCTGTTCTTTGAAGTCTTTTTAACTTGACCCCCCGCGATTAATCAATAGACTTTCATTCTCTCCTGTTACTATCTCTTTCATGTAACAATCAGAACAACATCCAACTCGTTTACCATTCGACTTCCACTCGAAGACTTGGTTTGAACGTGTCATGTCTCTCAGTTTTCTCCTCAGCGTGTGTACGATGCATCTTCATTTCCGTCTGCGGTAAATTTGTTCGACAATAGGTTCTTGGTTGGATCATTGACAGAGTTCTTTATGGCTAATCCTTTAGGATTGGCCACTTGATCTTCAGTATTGAACCCCAGCAGAAGCAACGGTCCATTGGAAATGGTTTTCAGTGATGTGCACAGTTAGTTTTTGACCCTTATTATTTGAAACACTGATTGATTTGTGACATTAGTGTTGAAAATCTGAATCTTGGTGTTTATGCTGACTGCTGAAAACTTCCAGCCTGTGATTTCAGAATGATGAATGAAGGTCTATCTTGCCTTCCAATTCTAGTTTTGACATCTTTATCTATATTGCCCATGTAGTTGAAATGACGCTGTCTAGATAATTGAAAAAAAGCGTCTTTCTTCACAGTCCCTGTCACTGATAGTGATCGGCTAGGTAGATATAATCATTTATTTGAACAAAGCAAGAACTACAGTTTTTGCAGAATAAAGTGGTACCATCTTCTGAAGACTGCCATCTTCAGAAGTCAATTTATCGAAAGCCTACTTGGAAAGGGCAATACTTACATTTTAATAGCTTTTGTCCGAATAGCTTTAAGCGCGAACAAGTCAAGACTGTGTACTATAGTGCGAGGAGAATATGCTCTATAGAGAAATTAAAGGATGAATTTTGTGTTTCTTGAAAAAATGTTGAAGAGCGATGGGTACCCTCAAAGGTTCATCAAGAAGTATAGAAGATCTGAAGTCACAAATGTAAAACAAAACACAGTGGGTAAAAAGCCAATCTACATTCAGCTTGATTATAAAGATGAAAACATTGCAGCCATTATTAACAGAAGGCTGAGTACACCACTCTATGTATCATTGATATAAGAATAAAACTTGTGCACTGTGGTAGAGTGTAATTGCATCCACAGTTATACCATATAAAGAGGGGACATCTGAGACACTACGTAGAATTTTGAATAAAATAGGAATTACGGTGGCATTTAAACCTCAAAATCACTCAGGGACAAGCTCTGTAAGTTAAAGGACCCAGTTGACCCAATTAGACAAAATAATATTATTTACAAAATACCATGCAATGACTGTGAGGTCAAATACATAGGTCAAACTAGTAGGTCAGGGGTAGTCAGATTGTCAGAGCATAAGAATTTAGCTAAGGCAAGAATAGTTGACCACGAGAAGTAATTTAGAAAAAAGCTCAGCAATTGCAATGCATGCGCTAACACACAACCACACAATAGGGTGGGAGAGGGTTAAAATTCTAAAAAGTAATCTAGGTAGGTGGAGAGAGGTTGATTACTGAATCCTTGTTCATCGAGTCTACACCCAACACATGCAATAGGAATGACTCGTCACTCATACCTGAAATATGGAAAATACTATTACCAATCAAATCAAGTGAAAATCAAGAGAAAAACAATGGAACTATATAAATGAATTTAGGAAGTCGTGTGATTACCTTGATGTGATTATGAGCAATAAATTGTGCTCGAAACGTCATCAGTAAACATTACTGTATAAGACTGTGAGACTTTATCAAAACAAAATTTACCCATAATGGAATTACACCAGTCTAACCAGACCTATCCTGCAGATAAGCTCGTCCCCGTCTATCGAACAACTTGCTCTTTGGCGCAATCAAAAATCGATAGATGTCCTTCTCATGTTACCTCCAACTGTGTATACAAATTTACATGTATCTGCGAGAGGAGTTACATTGGAAGGACAGAAAGAAAGGGATATCTAGGATTTTCTCAACATATACCAAAAAGCTTGCGTTTCAAGGGAACAAATGCTTTAAACAGTGCTATCGCCTGGCATCTCGTTGACACGGGTCATGAGGTGAACGTCGAAAAGTCGTTCAAAATTACCAACGGGCATATGAGCTCAATTCTGCTTAAGTTTGCTGGAGCCATTTCCATCAAATGCCTCAAACCTGATTTACCAGCATTATTTCTGGCTCAGTGAGGTAAAGGAGTGCGCCGGCCGGGGGTCGAACCCCGGACCATATGCATGGTCGGCAAACGTTGTAACCGCTATACCACCGACGCACCAGTCGATAGTAAATCCATATAAAATAGGCTATTCTCATCGCTGCTGGAACTTTGCGAGCTTTAGGTCCTTTGTCCCACTTTGAACTCCTTATAAATCAAACCAGAGAACATGATTGCCTGATTCTAGTATTCATTTTTCTCTCTTTTTTTTTTACTGTGGATTGATTTTTATCAGATTAATCAGCCTACACTTTATTATTATTATTTTTATCATTTTATACATTCTACATTCTTTTCTATTAAAATGTTTAATTGATAAGCATCAACTGGATTTGACACTTCAGAAAGTGTGTATGTGTGTGTGTGTGCGTAGGTGGGTTCATTCTTGTTCTTCTTCTTCTTCCTTTTTCTTATATCAACCGGTATAGATTTAAATACTCTGCGTGTTTTTGTTTGTTCAAAATCTTG